CATAGACTCCAATCATATATGGAGAGAGAACGGCCAGATCTCCAAGCAAGGTTCGGGAAAGGAACCACATCGCAAACATACAATGGATAACAGAGCAAGCCAAAGAATTCCAGAAAAAAAATCAGCATGTGCTTTATAGACTATAGCAAGGCTTCTGACCACACAGAATAGATCATGAAAGTTTTGTAATACTTTTAAAGAAATGGGAGTGCCATTACATCTGATAGACTTGATGAGGAATCCGTACTTAGGACGAGAGACTATTGTAAGAACATAATATGGAGAAAAAGAATGGTTCCCAATTGGCAAAGAGGTCAGGCAAGGCTGCATTTTATCACCCTATCTGTTCAGCCTGTATGCAGAAAATATAATACATAGAGCAGGTTTAGACATGGAAAAAGAAGGAGTGGAGATAGGAGGAAGGAACACCAGCAATCTAAAATATGCAGACAACACCATACTACTAGCAGAAAACATCACAGACTTGTAACAATCACTAAAGAAAGTCAAAGAAGAAAGTACAAAGGCAGGCCTAATGTTAAACATAACGAAAACAAAAATAATGACCACAGAGGATTTACATAAATTCAACCTAGGTAATGAGGACATTGAAATAGTTAACTATTTCTCATACCTTGGATCAAACATTGATCAGAACAGATACTGCAGTCAAGAAATCAGAAGAAGATTAGAAATAGGAAAGGCAGCGATGGAGGAACTAGACAAAATTCTAAATTGTAAAAATATACAGCTGAACACTAAAGTTAGAATAATTCAAGCCATTATATTCACCATTTCCATGCACGGATGTGAGAGCTGGGCAGTGAAGAAAGCGGATAGGAAGAACATTAATTCATTTGAGACATGGTGCTGGAGAAGAGTGTTGAGGGTACTGTGGATGTCCCAAAAAGATTAACAAATAGGTCCTAGAACAGATCAAGCCTGAAATCTCCCTGGAAGCCAAGATGACTAAGGGCCTCGGCAGACGGCTAATAGAGCTGTCTTGGAGGCAGGGAAGAGGAGGGGCAGCCACACGCTCGGCGCCCCTTCCTCCTCCCGAGGTCGTCCTCGGAGCCGCTGGCCCTCCGCATGGCCGGCGCTCCGAGGGCAACCTCCTGCCGCAGCGTCCGGACACACTGCGGCGGAAAAGTCAGCGAAAGTGCGCCGCAAGCTTTTGCGCCGCACTTTTGCTGACTTTTGAAAGGAGCGCTATTTTAGCGCTCCTTTCAGGGGTGGTGAAGGTGTGCCGCAGGATCGAGGTGTGGGGATGCCTCGGTCCCGCGGTGCACCTTCCCAGGGCGGCCCCGTGCCGCCAGTCTACTTAGGCCCTAAATTGAGTCTATTGTATTTTGGCCACATCATGAGAATCATTAGAAAAGACAATGATGCTGGGGACAGTGGGGGACAGGTGAAAGAGAGAAAGACCACACTCCGGATGGATAGACTCAATCAGGGAGACCATGGGCCTGAGCCTGTAGGACCTCAACAGAGAAGTATTCAGGGCTCTTGGAGACATCTCATCCACAGGGTCACCATGAGTCAGGGTTGACAGGAAAGTAGTTAACAACAACAACCTCCAGGGTCCTGGTCCAAAAGATAGTTGCCGAAGGACAAGTGGCTTGCAGCCAGAGCCAAACAGGCTGCCTTGGAGGAGGCTACCCTTCCTTTTGCTTAACACTTGACACTAGAAATTCTGGCTAGGATACCAGAAAGAGAGAAACAGAAGAATTAGCTTGTGAAGAAGGATTCACACCCCAAAGGCATCAACTGAGTAGATAAAAAAAGCCTTTCTTAGGCCTAATACAGCCCTCCACACACAAGAACACTGGAGTATAGCTTTTATATTGCACTACCCTTCCTTCTTTAGCAGCCACTAAAAAAGGCCAATACAATTTTAGGCTGCATTAATAGAAGTATAGTATCT